CTACTGAAGGGAAAAAGTCGACACAAACAGAACTACTTGCTGAACACAGGAGCAAAAACCAGAGGGCAAAGAGAAAGTTGACGGTCCATTGATGAAATCTCTTTGATTTCTGATGTGTTCCTAAATAAGATATTATACAATCAATATATAATTTTATATTAGGTGTCTAATCTCTATCCAAGTAGTCATTGTGACTGCTGGTTCTGTAACCAAGGATAAACAATGATGGCTTTTGCATTTAATGCTTTAGATTTTGGGCACATAATTAACCCAAACTATTTAAATCTTGCAACCCAAAAGATTCCTTTTAATATTAGCATGTCTGCTATCCATTACTAATCTCGCCTGTTCTTATCATATTTTTCTTGTGGACAATGCTTACTCTTTCCCATCACATGATGTAAAGAACATTTTTGTTATATTTGCATATACATACAGTTAAGACATAAATGTAAAACACAGGCATCTTAGATAAAAACTATATTCCTTGATAATGCATAAAAACTGCTGAGCATCCACATTCTACAAAAGAGGGACCAAAAGGCAAGAATTTTGCCCACACTGGGGTCACAACATTTCAGGTGTCCATACTGACCACCCTGATCTTGCACAGAGAATTACATGCACTTAAAACTTACACCACATAAACAGATACCCGAAGTAACATTAGTTTTGTTTAGTAACCAACAACATAATTTCCACAAAGTTTCCAGAAATGGCCAGGCAAGGCAAGAATAAAGTCTACAAACAGGTTCCCAAGAAGTTTACAAAAGAGCTGCAAACCCTCCAACCAGCACAACTTCAAACGATCAACAACATAATCATCCTGCCCACCATCAAAAGGACTGCCTCCTTGCAGCAAATCCAGCATCCACAAAAGGCAACCACCTTTCCTGCACCTAGCATAACTTAGACCCAGTACATAACATAACCAATCAGCATTCAAAACTAATAAATAACACACGAAGGGATCAGACTCGAATTTATACCCTAAGATTCATACAGGCGACGCTTAGCAGCAGAAGGCTTCCCAGGTGCCTGGTGTGAAGCTTGGTCAGCAAGCGAAAAAGGGGACGAACTCTCTGTTTGCTCATCATCCTGCCTCACATTAGGAGATCCAGTTCCAGAAGATTCCAGCTTCTCAATCTTTACCTTAGCCAGAGGTGATATCAAGCTGCATTGTCAAAGACCAAATCAATAAATTCCGACTGCACACTAACCATGACACGATAAGTTTAAAAGTAAAAAACTCACAGACTCCTTGAAGACAAAGGCGAAACCGCCGAAGATGACTTGCTGATTTTACTCTGAGGAGTTTCAGGACTCAGCCCAGCAATGGATGACAATCCATGTACTCCCTGACTAGTAGAACTCATCACATCCATACCATCACTCCGAGTTCCAGGAGTCACCACTGCACATTTCACAGCACCAACTGATTGGATATTAGAGACCTTCAAAGGATCTGCAATGGTAAAAGGAGCTGCCACAACAGTCGCCCCTGGACCTGCTCCTTTTCCTTTCACATCAGCAACAGAAAGCAAAGGTGCAATAGATGAAACAGGAGGCAGTAATTTTGGCGAAATCACGTCGGACACAACAGCATTCTCCTTGATGACCAAAGGAACTTGAGATGAACTGCAAGAGCCAAATGAGCACATAAGTATTTACCATGCAACAACAGCAACAAAGCACAGTTTAATGCATCAATACCAAATCAAGTAAAACAGTCCAAATGTGTCACCTAAGAGGCAACCCTGCAACCTGGCCAACCTGGAATGTTGGATTCGTGCCTCCAGGCGACACTGAGTCAACAACCTTTTCCTTTCCTTTGGATGAGCTAGATTAGTAACAGCAAAGATAAATAATCAGACTAACCAAAGAAAAACCCAAACCCCCGTAATTAACTAACACAAACATAACAATAGAGCAAACAACCCTCACCTAGATGGTATGACAGCAGAAGCTGAAGCTGCGAAAGGTACACCTGGAGCAGACAGCATCAACATTCCTTCCTGACCAGAATAGGACTGACTTAGGGTTTGGGACGAAGAAACACTGCCTGTGACATCTGGAACTCCTGTAAGACCAAGCACTGGGCCCTGAACATCACGGGGCATAACTCGGAAAACAAGAAATTCACCCGTAGATACTCCACTTGACCCAACCATCGGAAGCTTGACCTCAAACCTGACAAACTGGCCGAGCAAAGCCTCAAGTTCAGGCGGCAACTGGCCAGACCTGTGAGGAAATCGCTGGGCAAGCAGTTGGGCAGATGTGAGCACCAAATTGTTCCCACACGGGCCGAAAATAATGAAAGGGGCCTCGTCAGTGGCATCACGCAGGGTCAATTGGATCTTGTAGCTAGAGATGACACAGTAAAAAGCAGAGACAATTCCATCAGGACAGGCATAGGAGTGCAAACTCAAAAAATTTGGCAAATTCTCTAAGACCTTACAGGCACACAATGAAATAAACAAAAACAACAACTAATGATCAGACAAAACACACACCCAATTGTCACTTGCTGCTCAGTGATCTCCCAATGGTCAGGACACTAGTAGTTACCATTTCTCCACGTAGAACACTTTTTTCTGCACATGCTGCATGACATGTAATACCACGGGCTCCGGGACTCAACCGATCTGGTTATACCACCGCAACGATGCTTTTCATCCTGAATATAAACATTGATAATCCCAAAAAGCAATAAAAAACATAAATAAATGGACAACCCGAAGACTAGTCTAAAATCAAGAACTACATCGGAATGCAACTCACGACAGAAGCACCGCTATGGTGCAAATCAAGAAGCTCAGCTATGGTCCTGGTTCTCCGCTCAGCATCAGCAACAGCGTCCCCTGGGGTTGCAAACTTGACCGGTAAATCAGCAACAGGAACTCTGGATCCACCAAAACTGCATAGATGGACACAAAAAAGTTAAGCAAACCAAACACCACAAAGCAAATCCAGAACAACAAAATCACAGTTTAACAACAAAGAACCCACAAAGCAGCGAGGCTGTAAGCTTCTGGTATCCTCGGGCTAACAACTATACGGGTTCCAGAGGAGCTCGAACAGGAATATTCACCGGCTTCACAACAAAAACAAAATCAGTTCACAATTTATGATCAAGCAGAATGAAAAAGAGTTAAAATACACACCTATCAAACGACCAACCATGAGCCCCCCAACTCCAACGATCACTGGCTCAATGGAGTCCGCCTGAATCAAAGCAGGTCGATCAAGGACTGCCGTCAGTTCATTCCAAAGCGTGATTGACACTCTCTGGCCCCTGATAGCAAAACAAAGGATCAGATCTTACGTGAAGGTGACGAAACAGTATCCCCCAGTGCAAAAATAAAATCACAGAAAGACCTACTGTGCATTCTCAAGGACGAGAACTTGTTTTGGAGTCGAGCCGTGATTAGTAACCTGATGATCAATCCCGCTAATAGAATGAAGACGGCCGACAACATCTGACCAAAAAAAAAGAGCAGTAAGAAGACATAAAACCCAATCCAATTCAGTCAAGAAAACGCAATAATCACCTGCAATGATACGATTGTCCCCTGAACGTTTAGACAGCTCACTATAAGGAACAACCTCAAAGGAATCAGTTGGAAATTCAGCTGCAGGCAGAGAACAGGCCTGGAAAATAGTTGTTGCTGACAACTCTATTATCAGATCAAATGAGCAAGCACGATAGAGATTCCTTGCGGCACTGAGACCAAAAGACCTAAGAACGTAGATAATTCCCACGCGTAGCACACGCTCAAATTCAGACCCAATAGAGACATCAGCCAGGCTCTGAATGAGCATACCCTAAATTAAAAACAAAAAAAGACAGTCAAGAAAGAGCAAAGAAGGGGAAAAAAAGAGCAAAAAACAGAAAGCACTGTAATCACAAAGAATCAGCGTAAGAGAATCACCGTCTGATCCACCCAGAGGCAACAGTGATTAAACACCCTTGTCCCAGAAGGATTCTTGGCAAACCACATATGGAGCAGACGAAGCCTCAGAGTCACCTCTCTGGTACCTCCTTTGAGATTGCAGAGTAGAGTAGCATCCATGGTGAGGAAAAAAGGCGAGAAAACAACGACTGAACCACAGAGAACAAAGAGGGGAGAAGAAAAAGAGGGAAATGCGTTCCGAGAATGAGTCCTCTTGTGCAAAAAGAATGAGAATTACCCTTCTCCACCTGAGCGCACGCATCGAGGCACTGAATGACGTGTACAGAGCTGGAAGCAGTAAACTTTTTGACACCCTCCCGCCCTCAGGTGAATAACCGGTATCAATCAGTTGTCCACCATTCCCAAAGCACCTCCAATCCCAGCCAATCACCCGCCAAGTTTCTCCAACACAGTCCTGCCAACAACAGCCCAACACGACCCTCTAGGAATCCCTAACAGACACAATCATATCACGCAAGACTCACTGAGGACATCTGAAGGCCCCATCCCTCAGGTGAATAACCGGTATCAATCAGTTGTCCACCATTCCCAAAGCACCTCCAACCCCAGCCAATCAGCCGCCAAGTTCCTCCAACACAGTCCTGCGAACAACAGCCCAACACGACCCTCTAGGAATCTCTAACAGACACAATCATATCACGCAAGCTTACTGAGCACATCTGAAGGCCCCGTCCCACGTGGCCGGGCAGGGGCAAAGTCACATACCGATCTCTGATGACCAACGCGCGTCCGGGCCACCAAACGACTGCAACTAAGGCCAACCAGAAGCCAACGACCAGTCCCACCCCGACCGAGCCCCCAAACTCCGTAAGATCCCAATGAGGCCTCACCCAACTCCAGCCCACACCGAAGGACACGCTAGTTTAAAACAGTAAATCTCAGTCACAATGGACAGTAAAAGGTGTCTGTGTGTACATTACACGGGCATGCGGTGGGTTTCTTTCTTTCAATAATAATAATAATAATAATAATAATAATAATAATAATAATAATAAGCTAAAATTCAAATGCATCCAAGGGTTTAGGAAAACATCAAAGAATTCATTAAGGAAATTTCACTTATTTAAAGAAGGCGAATGCTTTTAATCTAATTCTTCATGTTATCTACTGCAAACATGAATACAAGTGGATTAAAATAAACTCCGACAAACAAATGGAATCCAACCAAGTCCAGCAGTACATTCTGAAGAGCAGTACATCAGCATCAATTTCAGGATTCAGTCCTAACCGTGGATGTCACCAATATTGTAAACCAAGAAGAAAACGAACTGAAGGCATAACCTTATTCCAACTCCCACACATGGAACGGATAGAAAGCAGAGCAGAGCACAGCACAGCACAAATATGTCTTGGTAGCCGGCTAGGTAGGACGAATCCAAACAGAGAAATGTGAGCAAAGAGAGTAGAGCTTATCATAGAAAGGAGCCCTAGTAGACAGCAGGCGCGGTGTCGGGTATTTGGAAAAAGCTTCGAAAGCACCATCAGTTCCAAAGGTGGAATCTTTAGCAGGACGAGGGAGGTTGTATGATCCCAAAGCATAAAATGATGTCTTGTTGGTGGAGCACTGGAACCGCACAAAATCAACATCGTCATCTCGTGTTGAAGGCCTCCACCCTCCGGTATCGAAATCAAATATTACACAGTTGCGACACAGGCCATCTTTGACAACAAGCTTTCCATCGAACTCGAACATGCCCCCTGCGGGCCAGCGCCAGCTAGGGGTGCAAGGCTCTACTGGTCGAGGACCAAGCCAACGCCAGAGTCTTGTCGAGACCTCAAATCCCGCCAACACTAAATCCTGGAAAAGGCAGTAGAAAGTCCCTTTCAAGTACACCACCGACTGCAAGCTGAGCTCGGTTTCAAAGGCGGGGTTGAAGATGGCTTCTGGTTCCATAGTCCAATTACAATAACTACTAGCAGTTGCCACATCAGCTTCATCGAGTACCACTGCCTGGCACGTGCCGACCGTGATCTCACTCTGGCAGCGATGCTTGGAATAATAATCTTCATAGATATGGCGGTGAAAAATGGAGAGGGCGAATACTTGGATGATTGATGAATCATGATCCACCGGAGGAGCAAAGGAGATCGTAGCCACTTTTCCTGGTACATAGAGTGAGGGGAGGTTCATCATCTGATCTCTGAATGGAGAGTAGAGGAACAATGCGAATCCTTGAAACAAGTTGGGATGTAAATTAGATGCTTCTTTGCCCATGAGAAGCCAACCTTTTCGGGAATCAAACGCTACTATTCTGCTGCTACGACTACCGAACTCCCTTCTTTTTATCAGTGGGTACACCTTTTGTTTCCATGGATCAAACATAATTGGACCAACCATCCTTTTATCGCCTTTCATCCACCACGACCGCAGTTCCTTCGACATTGATAACCTGGTATCATCATGGCACAGCAAAAACATCCGTGGAAGAAAATCTTGGTGTAGGGCTGGTGCCGGAGGAACGTCTCGCCAGCTCTTACACACGCTACGACAACATATTTGATCAAAATAACTCAACCGCCCAAACACGATTCTCATGATTTCCACGGGCAGCTCAATCCAATTTGGCCCTTCGCTACTGCTGCTGCAACCTCTTAGTCTTTGACATTTTCTAATGGTCCACTTCTTCCTCATTCTCCTTGATTGCTTCTTCTTCTCCTCCTTCTGGAAGTTTAGTTTAATTGAACATCCTTCTCCCAATTGTTTGACTCGCAACAGAAAGGGAATCCGAATCTATAAATGAAAAGGATATCCGCATCTAACAGTGCCAAGGAAATCCGGAAGGGAAACGGTAACGGGGCAAAAAGCCCTTACCTTTACATACAACAACCACGCTTCTCCGTCAGATCTCGACTTCTTTCAACGATGAATTCCGGTGAAGATGGTGGAATACCCGACCCGTCGGAGATATGGATCTTCTATACGCCAGTCTTCCAGACGCCTAATTTAAGCGTCGGTCGGCTTGGGACAATAGATTCGATGATAAATAATTGAGCTTTCTCCTCAGATGGATTGGATGAGATGGAAGAAACTGAGCCAAATGCTTGCAGGAGTTGAAAGTGAAACAGACAAGAGAAGAAGGCCACGGCAAATAAAGAGTAACAAGTGTTACTATTTATTGGCGTCGAATGGTTTTGTTTTGTCATTGCTATTTGCTACGGCCCACGGAGTTTCTGACTCGCTTCGCTCCGTGTTTCCCATGTGGACGATGGTGGGGTCGGCCAAGCCCAATTGCGTAGGAACGGGGAAGCAAACCCAGTTACGAAAACGAAGCCCATCGAAGGTCAAACTGCGGGCCTTACCGATTAAGTTCCGCCCAATTAAACTACTTATGGCAACAACAAAAAAAATTAAAGGGGTAATACCACTACAACACCCGAACTATCCGGAAAATGCCACTTGTGTCCTATTGTTTTCAATATTCCATCTGTGTCCTGAACTATTATTCTGTTAGTGTTGACCGGTGTTGACCGTTAGTATTTAACAGAAAATCCAGTCAGCGTTGACATGGCGTCTGACTTGGAATTTTCATTATCAATTTTCATTTAATAAAAAATACAAAATAAACAAATATAAAAACCTCCTAATCCCTTCTCCGCGTCTCCTCCCGCCGTCTGGTGGAACCCTCTGCCGGGAGCCCTGTCCGGGAAGTCGCCATCAACACCCAGATTTGGAACCTTATTCGAATTCATGATGGGGGGTCAAGCTGAGAGGAACCCAAGGTCGTGGGGAAGGGAATCGAAGGTCGGGGGAGGGGAATCGAAAGTTAGGGAGGGGAATCGTCGTTCTCGAAGAGACCAGGGGCATGATTCCAAGATCTCATCGCCGCAAAGCTTCATCCCCACTCAGTGTTCATCGCCGTCGGCCCTCCTAACTCTCCTCTACCACCGCAACAACCTCCAGATCTGAAGAGATCCTAACCCATGGATGGCGAAGCTCCTCCGCTCCTCAAGCTCAGCGATTGGAGATCTGAATCTTCTGGTCCAATTCAGAGACGGCGGCGAGGTTTCGGGACACAGGAGGGCGAAGCTTATTGTGGAATGGAGAAGGTCGAGGGAGGCTGCCGATACTAGTGGAGAGATGAGGGGATTCACCTCGTTCTCTCCCTCGCTCCTCATCCTTCTCTCCATCCCCAGTCAAGCAAACCCCACATCATCGCTACCTCCGACTTAGAAACAACCGCTGGTAACCCCAACCTTTGGTCCCCACGAACGCGCTCTGATTTCTTCTCAGACCGACGAGCCTTCCATCAACCTTCGTATTCCCAGATTTCGAAGGTTCGAGATGCGGCGCCACCCTCATTTTTGTGCTTCGACGGTTCCCGGCGACAATCCAGCCGCATCCACCTCGTCTCTTCCTTTCTTTCCCTCTTCCACACGGCGGTTCCCTCCTCACTTCCGTCATCGCTGCAGGAGCAGTCGACCACAACTTCGAAGTGGTTGAAGTATCGACGGGAAAGCACCAAGCTGAGAGTAGAGGGACAATCGACGAAATCAATGGAGATTTTTTTTTATTTGAATTTTTGGGTTTTAGAATATTATTTAGTAATATTCTTGAATTTAAAGGTTTCTCAATTTTTTATTTTCAAAGTTTTATATAATATAAATTAAAAATGTGAGGTGTCAATGACTTGGCACTGCCACGTCAGCAAAAGTCAATGTTAAGTTGACCGCCGTTTGGTCAACGAAATTGGCAGGATACAAATGACACAAAATATAATAGTTTAGGATATGAATGGAATATTGAAAAGAATAGGATACAAGTGGTATTTTCGTCATAGTTCGGGTGTTGTAGTGGTATTAGCCCAAAATTTAACCATGATAGTTTTTATTTTGTAATGTACATAAGTCAACCATTAAATAAAAATATAATTTTATGTGTTGTATATTTTTTTATAAAATGAGTATTAATCTTGTTGTGATTAATTCCATAAAAGATATTTTTCTATTGGTTAACCAACTTAAAAGGATTATATTTTGAGCTCCTACGTTGCATGATTAAATCTTAATTATGGTAATTGATATAAATATTTTGTTGTGATCAATAGCATCAAATATACTTTATCCTACTAGTTGAACACTTGAAATGATGATAGTATAATGAATATGATAGATGCTCTGAAGTGCATGTAATATCTATCTATGCATAATGTGGTAAGAAGAGGAGAAATGTGATCTATGAAATAAGTATGATTATTCATTGGAAAAAAAATACTTGTAACTAATTATCTTTTCAATAGTTATCGTAGACCATATAGTAGAATATTAGAGGTGCTTTGCATAATACATCCATAATCAACATTAAAGATGAAAGAAAATGAATGGTCTCTCATAAAATTCAATGAGTCATGGGCATAACATGCATCCTTGAAAGATTTATGCAAAACTTCATTCACTCTCCTGAAACCCTCAAAATTGCCTAAAACACAAATCTTGGTCATGATGATTAATACACATGTTTATTTGGTTTTATTTTAATGTAATTAATAACTTAAAATGTTAAAATCGTAAATGACAAGGAAAATTGTGGAGTTTACTATGTCCTACGTGGCAAAAACTTTCTCCACGACGGTCATAATATATGTTAAGATATCCAGGTTCAGTCTTGAGATTATGGATGTAATACTCTATAAATAAAATGTGATCCACAAATTTATTGATAAAAATCTTTTTTTTTACGATTATTGATAAAAAACTAATAAAATGTAAACAAATCATTAATAAAAAAATTAAACATTCTTTAAAGAAGCATAGTAGTAATTACTTTGACAAATAAAAAATTAATTTGAATCACTCAATAGGTGATGAGAAGTTAATTGAGTCGCATAGGAGAATATAGGGGTCGGTTAGCATGCTAACCCCCCTTGGGGTTGGAAAAATGACACCCCCTAGTATATTAAATACAACTATAGAATTTAATACACACATTAAATACACATTAGGAATTAAATGTACCATATTAATTATTTGTTTTTTTTAAATTAAAATCCACACTAAATACATTTTCTCTCACTATATTTGATTTTTCCTTTTTCAGCAGTCTCCGACCACCAGACTTCCTCTGACCGCCACACTTCTCCGGTGAAAATCCCATTGGCAGACTCCCTCCGACCACCTCCAAAAAATATACCACTGCACTGATACGTTGTACCACTGTACTGGTAGATATACCACTGCACTGGTAGCAATATCAGTGCACTGGTACCAATGTCATATCTGAGTATCAGTGCAGTGGTACAAATACCAGTAAAGTGGTACAACATATCAGTGCAGTGGTATATTTTTGCATGTGACCAGAGAGAGTTTGTCGGCGGATTGTACCGGCGAAGTGTGGTGGTCGGAGAAAACTTGGTGGTCGGAGGGTGCTCGGAAAGGAAGAATCAGAGATAGGAGTGAGAAAGATCAAAGATGAGAGAGAGAATTGTATTTTGTATATGTTTAGATTTTTTTTAAAAACAAGTAATTAATGTGGTGTATTTAATGCTTACTTTGTATTTAATAACAGAACATTTATTATGTTTACTTTCATTAATACTTTTCAATGATTAATGAAAAATTGACCAATTAAAAGGGGGTGTCAAAAAACCAACCCCTTAAGGGGTTAGCATGCTAACCCGTCCCGAGAATATAGAAGAATTCAAGACTAGAAAAAATACTAGCGGCAAACAAAAGATCATATAAATTGGTTTACTTTTTTTTTTTAACCGTTGATGCTTTGTGCCTTATTTAGTTATCGTTACTAATAATAAACATAAGCAATCGAGAGAGGATCCCATGACTAAGGGGGGTGCTTAGTGACTTGGCTCGGCCCGACCGGTAAAACCGCCACCCGGTCACAAAACCGGCTCGGCACAGTCTAAAAGCCGCTCCGGTTTTATGTAGCGGTTGGCAAGCGGCCGAGGCGGTTAACCGTTCGAGCCGATTGAGCCGCTCGTCCGGTTTTTGCCATTCAGCCACTAAATTTAATTAAAAAAATTGCAAAATTTTGAAAATTGAAATAATCCAAAAACGTCGTGCTCTCAAACTGAATCCTTATTTCCATTTCACAATTTCAAAGGAAAGAGATGAGCCCTGATTAAGAAATGTCCACTATTTATACTGATAACGTTTATTAGGTACCGGTTCTCTAACGGTTTTTAAACGGTCTAATGTCGGTTGGACCACTAAAGTGCAAGTCGTTCGCATTACTGGGTCTTGCTCCGGTTCGGTTCTAACAACATTGGATTTTTCTCCCGCGATCGGCGTGGCGATTCCAGCGATAGGCGAAGGCGATTCCGGCGATTGGCGAGGTGATTTTCCTCCAGCGATCGGCGAAGGCAATTCCGGCGATTGGCGAGGCGATTTTCCTCCCGCGACGACAGCGAGTTGCACTCTCCTCCAGCGATCGGCGAAGGCGTTTTTCCAGCCAACGGCAAGGCGTTTTTCCAGAGAACGACGAGGTAAATTTCTTTGCGTAATGGATTCTGCTCCAATAACAATGGATGAAGTGGTTGATGGAGCTAATGAACAAAAAAAGGGAGAAACTGGAACTGAAACAGCAATGGATGTAGATATTCACGAAACAACCGTACAACGTGAAATCGGTAATAAATCTTGTCTGATGTTTGTAATGATTTTGTTGCATATTTGTTATGATTCTGTATCGTAAATCTGTGTATGATGATTGTTATGTTTGTTATGAAAGTTTATTCTGTTTATAATGTTAGTATTGTTGTGCTTTCTGTGACAGTTTGTATTCTTAGTATGTTTTTCTTTTGATGTTTGTATTCTTAGTATGTTTTTCTGCTCTGTTCTGTACATTTTGTATTGTAAGTCTTTATATATGATGATTGTTATGTTTGTACAAACAGTGCAAACAGTACAAACGTATGGTTTATGCAGTTTGTACGAAATACTATATGTCTTTATAGCTTTAGTGCATCACTTTGTATGGTTTAATTATGTTTGTAATGTTAGTATTGTTGTGCTATCTGTTACTGTTTGTGTTCTTAGCATGTTTTTCTGTTATAGTTTGTACTCTTAGTATGTTTTTTTGTGACAGTTTGTATTCTTAGTATGTTTTTCTGCTCTGTTCTGTTACTTTGTAATGTGGTTGTTCTGATATTGTAAACTGGTTGTTTCTGCACATGATGAGATCAAAATAATACCAAGCAATGAAGAAACGTGGATGAACCTTCGCTTTGACACAAAAGAACATGGATTGCTG